GCAGATGTTTAACAATGTCTGGAGACATTTTTGGTGGCTACTCCTGGCAGGGAGGCACCACTGGCCTGCTGGACATCCTGCAAAGCTCAGAAAGCCCCACTCCGATGCACACAGATTATCGACACATGTGCACCTCCAAGGCATCAGGAGGATGCATCCAGAAAGGAGTCCCAGGCTCTCTCCTGAGGCGGGGCCTGGGAATCAGCTTTGTAACAGGCACCCACGAGAACCTGACGTGGAGGGAGACAGGCCACCCTTGCCAAAGCACATGGAGGGTGGGACAGGGCAGGCTGTCAGCCCTGGCTCACCTTCTCCACCTAGGACTCAACGCTCACCTCTCGAGGGTCCTGCCTCTCTGTACCTCAGTTTCTTCATCTCAGAATGGTCATGGAACCCCAACCTTGCTGTGTTGGGATGAGGCTTGAGGTGGCCCTGGCACACACAGGCAGCACACAGGTGGCATCAGCAACTGGCTGTTGTTATCAGTGAATCTAACCCCTCCCTGCCCCACTCTGGCCCCAAACAGGAAGTCTCATTCCGTTGTGAGGTGTTAGTCCAGTGCTCAGACAAGAGTGACAAGCCCCAAATCCTACAGATGGCAACCAGGCCAGGTCTCCTCTCAGTGCTGTGTCCCAGGGACAGAGAGCTCTTGCAGCCTGGGCCTGATGTGTATTTGGGATCTGTAGAGTACAGGTCAGCCTGACTCAGCCCCAGCCCCTAGGAGTGAACTTGTGGGGTCTCCTTGGCTCCAGCCAGCTGCCACACAAGGTGGTGGGGTCATCAGGCAGGCCCACCCCTCACGCCCAGCCCGGCCCAGCCTCTCCAGGGAGCGAGATATGGCCCAGGCTGCAGCTGAGTTCCTCCTCCAGCCCCTTCATAACCTCATCCTGCAAGGTCACTCCAACCCCCTACCTACTGAGGCATTCATCAAATGGGAAAACAGGCCCCAAAGCCTCATGAGACCGATTCTTTTCTTCTGTTATTAATTAAGCCTGTGCAGGGAGGGCATAAGTCACCTCAGGGCAGAAAGCCCAGGAAAAAGATTAACATCAGCCAAGAACAGAAGAGGACTCAAGACAGCTTGCCCAGGCTGCCATCAGTGGTCATCTAATTGCAATTTACACCCAGAAGGGAGAGTTCACTGTAATACTCTGCCCAGGCTGAGGCCCATCCAGTCTCCATCTCTCCTGCCCTTCTCAGTGACTCCACATGGCAGAGTCCCTGATCGGCAAGCCCTGCAAGGTGCCCTGGCCACCCCACACCACAGCCATGGTGTATGTGGAAAGGAAGGGCAGATGGGCCACGCCAGAGAGACTGCAAGTCCCCAGAAACAAGGCGGAGCTGGGAAGCTCGTTCTGCAGATGGGAAGCCTTGAAAATCAGGACTCCTGTGCCCTGCAACTTCTTCCTAGGCCAACACACCTGCCACGCCTGGTCACCCCCAGGATGGAGGCTCTTCTTGGCACAAGCTGCCAGTTCTATTGTCGGAGCTATTTTAAAGTCCCTCGTCAAGCCCTCACCCCCACTGCTCTCCTAGCTCCTGCCCCTCCCCTCCCACATCCCACTGACCTGCCAAAAAGGCATGGGTTGCTCCCTCAGCAGATGCCCAGCCCTATGCCAGGCACCGGGCACACATTGTCCACTAACTTCTCCCCAGGACTGCCCTGGCCACACCACCTACTGCCTCTATCCAGGCTCGGAGAAAAAATCCATCTCCTCCATCAAGTGCCACTAATGAGATTCTCCCAGTCTACCCCATGAATGCCAGCAAAACTTGTGAAGTGCAGGATGGGTTGAGTGACCATGAGCATGTGGCCCCTGGGGCCATGGATGAGACCTTTTCATCCCCACAGCAACCCCACAAGGTGTGCTTTGGACCCTTGTGATTCACAGCAGTAGCTGAGGCTCAGGGGGGTGAGGCAAATGCTCAGGGACACACAGGACAAAGTGGCAGAGCAAGCACCAACACAAGCCAGGTGTGGCTCCAGTGCCCTGCCCTTCCCTACACAGGAGACCTGGGGTTCCATCGTGTCCTGCAGCCAGCTGGGTCTTTGTTCCCCACAGTTTCTGTGCAGTGGAGGCCCCCAGCCCTCTCGAGACATTTTATCATTCCCAAGAAGTCAGCAAGTCCACAAGGAAGAGCACTGTTTCTGCTGTAAGATGAAGGCGTGGTATCTGCAAAGTGTGAGTGAGAGTCCTTTTTTAAAAAAAAAATTCCAAAGCTTTTCCTCCAGCTCCAGGGCTTCTCAGAAGGGGGGACTACACCACCATCCACCAGTGTGCCCAGGCAGCAAACACCAGCCATGTGCCAGCCTGTCCTCTCCTTTCTAGATGCCCCACCCAGCCAAACCAGGCCTGGCTTCTCTGATGGCCAGAGACGCACCTAGGGCTTGTGGATACCACCCAGGTGTTGTCTACGGGCCTCACCAAAGCAGGGCGAGACAGTGTCCAGCTGCTGGGAGGAGGGGATCACAAACACTCTCATTCTTCAGAGAGGAGAACATGAGAGAGAGCCATGAATGTGGGGAGTGAACAAGCGGAAGAGGGTGCAAAGTGGAGGGAGGACCATGAAATGAATGGGAGGGGTAGCTGGGGCGGGGTGCACGCCTGCAATCGGCTGCATGCCTAGGAGGCTGAAGCAGGAAGATTGAGAGTTCAAGCCCAGCCTGAGCAACTTAGCAATTTAGTGACCTTGTCTCAAAAAAGGGGTGGAGGAGGAGGAAAAGAGGATGTAGCACAGTGCAAAGGCCCTGAATTCAATCCTCAGTACCACAAAAAATTGGGGGGAACCCAAGAAAGACCAGAGTTGGAATGTCTGCTGAATGAACAGATGCAATGCACTCATCCTAAAACCAAAGCCCTAAAGTCAAAGGGAATAAAAGTTGCCCCTAGTTGGTAATGTCAGAGGAAAGACCAGACCCTGGGGCTGCAGTGTCTGCTCTAGGGGGTGCGGTCTCAATTCCTCTGCAGTTGGTGTTGGAGCTCCTTAAAACCTGGGTCTGAGCCACACCCTGTGGTGCTTGCCTGTAATCCCAGCACACTAAGAGGCGGAGACAGGAAGATCAAAAGTTCAAGCCCATCCTGGGCAACTAAGCAACTTAGACCTGTGAGAGAAAGAGAAGGGGTGGGAGGGTGGCAGGGCCAGCAGGAAGGAAAGAAGGAAGGGAGGAAGGATGTGAGGGAGGGAGAGAAGCTGGTGGGGTCTGGTCTCTTGGATCCTGCCAAGGAAATGGGTGAGGTCTGATGCCCTGCATATACACATCTGCCACCTCTTCTCTCTCCCAACTCCCTCATCATGTGCCCCTTGTAAGAAGCTGGGTGTAGGAATCCCCAGTCCAGCTGCTGTGCTCCCTCTGAATGCTGTGTGACCCAGTAAAGTGCCTTCCCCTTTCTGGACTCCAGAGTGTGGCCAGGGCCTGTACTCTGAGTCAGGCTGAGCTTTGCTGAGTCCCCACAGCTTCCTCTCCCTGAACACCACAGCATTCGGTCTGTGCTGATGACAAGTGCCCTGGCCACTGTGGCGCTAACCTGGAGGGCTCAATGAAGCCAGGAATCTGTGAATTCTGGAAGGGAGCAAAGCAACTCAAGCTCCCTGCTTCAGCCTTAGGCGTGCAGGCAACTGCAGGCCTGCACTGCCACCCCCAGCTACCCCTCCCATTCGTTTCATGGTCCTCCCTCCACTTTGTGCCCTCTTCCGCTTGTTCACCCCCCACATGCACGCCTCTCTCTCATGTTCTCCTCTCTGAAGAATGACAGCATTTGTGGTCCCCTCCTCCCAGGTTTCAGCTTCCCAGGACAGATGTTGTGAGACTGTAGGGAGCATCAGGGATTAAAGGCAGACGTGGGACCTCTGCAAGTCTGGGGGCAGAGGCTGAGGACCTGACCCCTTGGTATTCCGGGCAAGCCTGAGAAGTCAGTCCCCTGAAGCCCAGCATGTGTTACTGGCTTCCTTCTAACAGAGTCTTGGCCACCAGCAACAGTGCCTCCTGCTTCTTCCAGATGAGCTACTGGAATCAGTAGGCGTGTACAGGTTGTTTGGGATGTTGTTAGCAGGCAGCTGCCTAGCAACAATCACAAGCTCTGGAGCCCTGGGGTACCTGTGCTCCCCCAATCTCTACCTCCCTTAAGCCCCTCCTCCTGGCCCTCCAGCAAATGCAGGCCCAGAGAGGAGCTGGAACATCTGCTAAAAGATGGTCTGCGCCCTGAAATGCTCTCGTCCTATAGGTAAGACAAGGAGAGTGGAGGGGAACAGAGGGACCCGTGGTCCCCCAGTATACCCAGCTAGGAAAGGCAGGAAAAAGACCAAGCCCCAGGTATCCTCGGCATCTGCTGCAGTCCTCCAAAGTGGAAGGCTTGCCAGGCCCCATACAGAAACCATGAAGCCCCCCTCCCTTCCCTTTCTTCCAAGCCAAGTCTCCATTGTTCTGGGTGTGCCCAGCCCTGCACCCACCCAACGCCCACTGTGGTACTCACCTCTCCACCTCTACAGGCACCTCATCATCTCCACTAAAGGGAGGGGCCCTCAGGAAGCAGTGGGGCCCCAGTGGACACCTTCTCAAGCTTTGGTTGGACAACTGCTGGCCTCCTGAGGCTGTCCAACTGGACCTGACCTCAAAGGTTCAGGCCAACTTACACATAAAGTAGAGGTCCAATTAAACGTGCAGGCGAGGTAGGAGCTGCCCCAGGCTGCAAGCCCACCCCCCTGGCTGGCTAGCTGAGCCTCAGTGTCTTCCTCCACAACCACAGCCACGCACTCCCTAAGCAGCTTTGGCCTGGGGTAAGCACCTGACTTCGGCTCTTCACTTCATTCCCCTGCAACGTGGTGAGGCTGTACTTAAAGCATCATTGACATTTTACAGAAGACAAAGTCGAGGCTTGGGGAGGTTCCTTGAGCAAAGCCAACAGGCCAGGTGACGATGGTGCCAACATTCAAGCCCGCTTATCCTTGGCCCAAGCCCAAAGCCCCACTCTCTCTCCTTGCGGGTCTCCTACCCTACCTACCTTCCTTGGGCGCATCCGCGTCCCATACGCTCCACATCTGCACGAAGAAGAAGGGCGTCCAGCACACGATGAAGGCCAGCACGATGATGAAGGTCATCTTGACGGTGCGGATCTTGGCCTTGGAGATGAGCTTGACGCTGCTGACTCGCGCCAGCGCCACACGCCCTGCGCCGCCCACGTCGGAGTCCCCGGGCCCTTGGGCTGCGGCCTCCGCAGCCGTCTTGAGCCGCAGGTTCTGCCAGATCTTGAAGCTGATGAGGCTGTAGCAGGCGGCCAGCACGATGACCGGCACAATATAGACGGACAGTGTGATCCACGTGACGTAGGCCTTGGGCCCCCAGGGCTGGATGAAGACAGCCCAGCAGTCGAAGACGCCCTCGGCCACCTCGCGCAGGGAGAAGATGTGCACTTGCGGCGCGCTGGCCACCAGGCAGCCCAGCCACGTGCCGAGCACGGCCAGGCGGTCGGTGCGGCGGCGCAGCGAGCGCAGCGGCCGGCAGATGGCCAGGCAGCGGTCCAGGGACATGAGCAGCAGCAGGTAGGTGGAGGCGAACATGCCCACCACCTGTAGATACTTGACCAGGCGGCACAGCAGGTCCGGCCCGTAGAAGCGGAAGGTGATGTCCCACAGCAGCTGCGGCAGCACCTGGAACACAGCCACCACCAGGTCGGCGATGCTCAGGTGCTTCATGAAGAAGAAGAGACGCGAGTGCTTGTGGCGCGTGGTGCGCAGCGCCAGGAGCACGCACGCGTTGCCGCTCAGCGCCAGGAAGAGGATGAGGCACAGCACCGCCACCTCCACGCGCGCCAGGGCCTCGTTGCGCCGCGGCGGTTGGGCAGTGCAGTTGCGCTCTGGGTCCCCAGGCGCGGCGCTCTCGTTAGCCGCGTCTGCGCTCCAGTTGGCGATGAGCGCGCCCTCCATCCCCCGAGGCGAGCGCTGAGGGGCAGCGGGGTCCCGACCCAGGCGGGCCCGACCCTGGAACAGACCACAGAGCGGTGAGATCGAAACTGTACCCCTCCTCTTCCGAGGCTCCCGGGATGTCCTCGTCCTCTTCTTGGGGGACCCAAATTGTCCGACATCCCAGGCACTATCGCCGGCTGCCCCCAAGTCCTCCTTTGAGCCGCTGCAATAGGGCAGGGATCCTCCACCTGAGCGCGAGTTCCCTGAGGGGCTCAGCGCTCCCCTGGGGGCCAGGGGAGGATCAGCACCCGCCGCTTACCTCCTCCAACCCGACCCCTGCACCGCCGCTCCCAGCACCCTGGGCGCGGCCACCTCCCGCGGGACCACCCGGCCAGCCCAGCTCCGGGAACCTCCACCCTGCGCGTACTCCACCGCTGGCCTGGGACACCCCTGGAAGGTCCATCCCCCTAAATCCTACAACTTCCATACCTGCTCGCCTACAGCCCTGTCCTCTGTCTTTCCCGGGGACCCCGCCTCAAAGCCCGCCCCAGGATGCCCACCTGCTGACTCTAGGACCCTGGCCCACACCCGGCAAGGGTCCTCCGCGGCCCGCAACCCCGCAGCCGCGGGCTCCACCTTTTACTCCAGAGCTGTCACCAGCCCTCTCCAGCCTGTCCACCCACGTGCAAGACCCAGGTACCTGCACCGAGCCCGCAGGTTGGACTAAAGTTGTCTTCTAGGGAAGTTGCACCGCCGCTGATGGCCCAAAGATACGTGCGCGCCCGGCCGGGTTGGGACGCAGTGGGTCACTATGCAAGGTCTCGGGCTCGGGAACCTCGGTTGGACTGCCCTTGCCTGCAGCTTTGCTAACTGTTGGGTGGGAAAGGAAGGCAAACGAAGAGCTGCCGCTTTCTGCAGCCGGCCTGGGATGCACTACCGCACGAGCCCGCCAGGGGGCGGGCGCAGCGGAGCCGGAGTTCGGCAGGTACCGAACTCAGAAATAAATCCACAGGCTTATTTTACAGCCGTTTAAAACCGCCAGGGGAAGGAACTCGTAAATAACCCGCCTTGTTTCTTCCTTTATTGGTTTAGAAGCTCCTGGCCCTCTCAGAGAAATAGTATGCTTGAGACACAGTGTTGATGATGAAGTTTCCAAAGCATTTAACTGATGATAGTTCCCGAACTGAGGTAGAGTTGTCTTTTTTTTTTTTAGTAGAATTAAAAATGCCTTCTATTTCAAGGATCGCTGGGAGAAATCTGCATTCCTTAGGTGGTTTTAGGTGGAAATCTCAAGCCCCTCCCCAAGAATCTACCTTTGTTAAAAGTGATTCTGGGCCGGGGATTTAGCTCAGCAGCTCTGTTGCCTGCCTCGCAAGCGCAAGGACCCGAGTTCGATCCCCGGTACAAAAAAAAAAAAGTGATTTTATTCATCTGTGGACCCAAGGCCATTTTGGCTTCCCTGACATGCTTCCAAATTAAAATCATAAATAATGGCAAAGGAAAATGAAATGCTAGAAACTGCTTCTTGCCTCCTTGCCCCTTTTCTATTCTGAAAATCTTCTTGAAACAATTTAAAGTGGCCAAGAACTTAGGCAGGGGGAATAAGGCCAGAATTCAAAAATGAACAGGGCTATTTAAAGCATATTAAATGCATGTTTCCTCCTGACATTTCACTTCTCCCTCTTTTAATTATGTGGAGAGAACCGAGTTGGCCAGAGATTGTGCTTCCCGCAAAGATATCTCGGGCAGAGCCACACAGTGCCTGAGTGAGTGTCCAGGGCGGACTTGGTATCCTGGCAACATGGCCAGGTGTAGCAGGAAGCAAAAGTAGTCTTTTTCTTGCCCTTGGTAGTTGTGTCACAATATTATCAATAGTGTCTGTCACACAAATTACAGATTAAAGTTCCAGAATGCTTAGGTGAGAATTAAGTGACTGTCAGATCCCTTCTTCCCCTTAGGCCTCAGTTTCCCCATTTAGGAAATGAGAGGGCCACCCAGATTGCTAATGTCTGATGTCCCATCTACTGATTTGCTAAAGTTGTGTTACCTACATTGCCAAAGAGCTTAATTTTCGCAGGTAAAACATCCTGGCCCCATTCTGGGGCTGGATAAGGAGTCACTTTCCCTGAGAACTCTTAATTAGTAAATCTGGGAAGGAAAACACCCAGCTTGCAAAGCCCAGCCTGCTCTCCTCCTGGAAGAGCATAGGTTACCTGAGCCATTACTCCAGGGACCGGCTCTTCTACCCCTGGGCCCAGCCCTGCATGGTCTTTGTGTGGCAGGTGAGACTGACTACTTTGAGTTCACTTAGGGGGACCATTGGGTCTCAGGCAAAAGCCAAGTTCTTTAATTTAGCCTTCATCTGAAGAAAAAACTTGACAGTGAGACCCCATTTCTTCTTTGTTGTTTTATATTTCAGTGTGTGCAGAAACAAGGCAAAATAGGTGCTGTTTACCAAAAGCCACCGCCCCCAAAAAAGTTCCTAATGGTGAACGGGACATGCCCCCATCCCGGAGCTCCTGCCAGTGTGCAGAACACATACTTTGAGAGTGACAGTGACAAATGTAAACACAGTGAGAGAATGGAGTTCTGGGAGCTGCAGCAGGGCTCAAGGAACCGTTTTACAAAGAAGGCAGCTGGATTTTGAGGCTTTGGAATGAGTTTTCCAGAAAGGAAAGGAAAGCCCCCAAGAGTGGTGCAGGGTGAAGGTGTCATTTTGCTGGAGAGGATTAACTGTGCTTGTGGCTGGGAGGAATCACTTGGTGCCTGGAGCATCGGCAACAGTTAATAAATATTTGTTGAGGCCATATAAGAAAGACTAGATTACACTCCATAACTCGATGTTCCTCTGAATGTGGGAGGGAATATTTTCTAAGTTGTAAGTTTAGTATCGAGTGACTCCAAGGAATGAAGTGAAGAAATTGAGTTCTCTCTCATTTCTATTTCATTCCTGTTGACTTTGTCTAGAAAAAAGTCTGACAGAAATCAGTTGTAAAGGTGCCTGAGTGGCTAAGGTTTGGGGACAGCAATGGGGAGGGCAGGCTACAGCAGAACAACCTGAATTCCTTGGGGAACCTGGTAACACAGGGACGATGGGAGGTACTACTGACCTTGAGACCTCGGCAGTCCAGGCAAGAGAGGCTGCAGGACCAGGGGACATCACTGAAGGTTGTATTAGTCAGGGTCTTCCCAAGCAACAGAACCATGAGAAAAGTTAAATGTCAAGGAACTGGTTCATGTGTCACAGAGGCTAGAAAGCCCCAGATCTGTGGGGTGGGCTGAGAGGCTGGAGACCAAGGAAGAGCTAATGCTGAAGTTCAAGTCTGAAGGACACCAGCTGCAAAGTCCCTCTTGCTCAGGGGAGGTCACTTTTTTGTCTATTTAGTACAAGCCTTCAACTGATTTGACAAGGCCCACCCTTTACTCAAAGCCTGCCCACTTAGCTGTTAATCTCAGCCCCATACCCTCACAGAAACATCCAGAACAGTGTTTGACCACAAACCATGGTCTGGCTAGGTTGACACATGAAAGGAGCCATCCCTCGTAGAATCTCAGGAACCACTGCTTACACATCCAACTGAGCAGCTGGGCATCTTGGGGATAGGGCCGGGGTTCTATACACCGGTACTTAGAAGGCCAGGGACACTGTGGGTCAGGATCTCTGGTATGTGTCAAATACATGAGGATGGAAAAGAGGGAGAAATAAGCAAACACCCCTGTGGCGGCCTCACTCTCTCCAGATCAGGGCCAGGCCACCTGAGAGGGGATCTCAGCCTGAGGTGACCCAGGCAGGACTCGCTCCTACCTCTGGGAGCTGAGTGCTGAGGGTTAGCATCTTGGAAACATCATTTAGACACGGATCCCAGCTCAGGGGCCTTGTGCTGAGGTCAGGTGGAAATGAGTCATAAACACCTCCTCCCCCTCCCCATGCCCGCCTTGCTCCCCCATGTAATCTCTACATCTCTGCCTGGGCTCTGGCTCCAGGAGGGCTGAGTAACACACTCGTGCGTGGGCCGAGAACATGCTGGAGCAATGACCTCGGGCTGGCAAACTCACCCCTGGCCTTACCTCTGCAGGGCCTTCAGGGGCGGGGCTGCCAGGAGACGGGGCTGAGCCTTGGGCTGCAGTCAGTATACATGCAGCCCTAACTCACATCCTTCCTCCAGCCCGAAGCCCCGTGAACGCCTTCTTAGCCTCTGTTTTCATTCCTGTGCTCTTTGGAGGGTTGAGAAAGAAAGAAAAACATGTTTTCATGTTAGACAGCACTCTAAACTTGCACCAGTCATTCTGGGTTTGTCTGTGTGCTGCCTGTATGGCCAAGTTACTGACCCTGAGACTCAGTTTCCCCAGTGCTGAGCTCATGGGGCTGTGTGAGTAAACAAGGCTTTCTGCGCACAAGGAGGGCTTTGCAAACAGCTGGGTGCTGTGTGATGATCCCCATTCCAGGATGTCCCATGATAAGGACATTGTCTCAGACAATCACCCTGCGTCTATTCATCTTCCTGGAGTAAGCATATGTGTTTTTTCAATTCAACTAGACAAACTGTGTGTGTGTGTGTGTGTGTGTGTGTGTGTGTGTGTGTGTGTGTTGCTGTGCCAGGAAAGGAAATGCTTTTTACCTCTTCAGAGAAACTCTTCCTGACCCTTGGGCCCACTGAGAGTGAACCAGTCTCGAGCTTCTGCAGGTGACCAGATTCCATTTTCAACATTAATGTGCTCAGGCTCCTCAATTCAGCTACAAGTGTCCAGATTCAGTCCTAGATGTTAGTCCTTTATTTGCATCCCCATCATTGTTCCTATCATATCCACCTATCAGTGAAAATGTGAGAAGAACATTCCTTAATAAATTAATCACTGTGGTCATAACCTTGCTTTCTAGAACATTTTTGTGGAAATCAAGCTTCAGGAGGGCTCTTGCGGAGAAGTGTGTTATTCGTATTCACACGCCCTCCTTCCCAAACAATGACAGAGAGAAAGCAGGAGGAGGATTTGAAGTCCACAAACATGTTGTTAATTGACAATGAAAGTGACAACACAACTTCTGTGAAGTTACTGGCTTAAATAAATGCATTGTCCACATGTAGACACTGTTGGCTAAGATTAGCACATAATTTGAGAGAAAAGCTTTCTTCAGGAGTAACTGAGCTTGGAGTAAAAACAGCCTGTTGTTTGGCAGAAGAAAAGGTTTATTGAGAATTGAGATCTTTGGAATTTGTCATTTCTTTTGGAGAAGGAGGGCCTGGAAGGGCTGAGAGTGACTTAAAAGTGACTGATATTCTCATTACCAGCAGAGTGACTGGGATTATGATATTTGTTTTCCAGTTGAGGAACTGAGGTTCAGTGAGGGAAAGACCCTTGCCCAAGCCACACAGTGGTTCAAGAGGTACAAAACAAGCCCGGGAGGGTGAGCAGGAAGCAGCCCACAGGCCTGCAGAAGAGGTGAGGCGCTTTGCCTCTGTCTCAGAGTGCTGGGAAGCTTCACAGATCTGAAGTGACAGTGTGATGTGAGCTGTGATCACTAATGCTTTTCCCTCGGCATGGACACAGGCAAAGCAACGAAGAGGCTGTGTGGGTACCCTGCAGCAGCAGTGCGGTTTGAATATGGCGACACCAAGACTGCAGGGCAAGGACAGCTGAAGTGAAACCGGATGGAAGCTTCAGTCTTTCCAGTGACCCAGCCACCTCCCAAGTCAAGAAAGGCCTAAGCAGCACTGATGCTGTTCTGGGGACCAAAGCTGGAGGTGCTGTTGGGTAGAGCAGGGGAAGAAGAGGCATGAATAACAGCACTGAGCTGAGCCAGTCTGTTTGAGAGGTCAGGCTCAGTTCACCCAGGCACAACCTAAGAAAACCGAGCTCACTGCTCTCAGGAGCCCCCTCCCTTGATCCTATCAGGCCATCTGTGGGAGGAGGACACAACCTAAGGGGAATTCCAGGGACCAGGCATCTCCAGAAAAACATGCTGAGGCCCCAGGCAGCCCTACCTTGCCTTCCCCACCAATTCCAGCAGCCCACTCATTTATCTTTTTCATTAAAAAAGAGAGGCATTTCTTCCCTGAAGGGCACCCAGTAGAAAGCTGCCTTCCTTCCTTTGTTATTGAGCATGCTTTGACAGAATGTACAATTTCTTCTGATCTGTTATACGTCAACATCCAAGTATGTAAGTACGTTCCAGAAGTATGTTCTCAAGCACCTCCTGTTACCCAGAGAAGCTGTGTATTAGTATGAAATTGAACATAACCAACCAGTGCTTTTAACCTAGGTGAGAAAATCAGAGAAAGCAGAAATCCCAGAACCCCTGGCTGCAGAGTTACAATTCCACATGCTGCCCTGTGTGACTGTGGACAAGTGCCCCCATGCCTCGACAGGCCAATTTTCTGAGGATACTGGGCAGTCTCCAGGTTCTCTTACAGCTCCAACTTTCTATGATTCTCTAAGACTTGGCAGCAAAGCACACACAGCACAGCAGGGAGCACAGAGTAGACTGTCTGAGAGACTCCCCAGGGCCCACACTGGCAGAAAGAATAAGGGTGGTGTGCACAGGAAGGGGTAAAGCCTGCTGCAGAACGAGCATGAGCTTTAAACAACTGAAATATCATTTTTCACCTACCAGACTGGCAAAAAGGAAAAAGGAAACTACCTTGGGGGAAGCTGGCACTCTCAAACAATGCTGTTGGGAACACATTTTGAAATAGCTTTCCAAGAAAGGAATTCAGCAGTAAGCATGAAAACCCTGAAACATGTGCACATTTTTTGACCCAGCGATGAACCCTTCCTAGTGATATAACTCAGGGAAATAATTGGGCAAAAAAAGACAAAGGGATATGAAGACAGATGTTCACTTTTCCAGCATTGTTGCCAACACTGGGAAACAGTAGAAACTGTGTGTTTATTATGTGCAGTAGGTAAAATGCTATCTATAAGGTAAAATGATGGAATGGATCCTTGTAAAAGTGACATGGAAATCTACGTGCCTGTGTCTGTGTGTCTCCCAGAGGGTGGGCAAGAAGGGGAGGAAAAGAACAGGGAAGCCACAGAAAGCAATATATGCAATGCTGCTATTCCCCCCCCCATTAAGTTTATTGGTACATTTTTGGTATAAAATACAGTTACATTTATGAGCACCTTGGTTCTTATTTTTTTCCCCTTCCCTTGCCCTCCCTTCACCCCCTCCACCCTTCCCTATTTGCAAAGACTTTGTTTCCATTTTTTTTCCTCTTCTCATATTTTTTCCTTTCCTTTTTTTCCCTTCCCCTACCCCTCCCAATTCCCCTGCTCTTTTAGACCTTTTCTTCCTGTTACACAATATCAGTTATTAATTTTTTAAATTACAATATTAAGATCTAGGAGACATTACCACAGATTTTACAGAATTTAAAAGGATATAGAAAGCATATTTCAAAAATCTGTTTTGAAATAAATTTGACAACTTCTAAGAAGTATCTTGGAAGACAAATTAATGAAACTAACTCTGGAGGAAATATAAAATTTGAATAGCGCCTATTAAAGAAAGTATATTCCTAGCTTGAAAACATACCTATATGACAACAGCAGGCTCATAAACATTTTAACTGATAAATTATATCAAACAATTAAAGCAGAAAAAAGAAGGAACACTTCTCCCCTCATTTTAGGGACTCAACATTGTGCTAATCCTAAAACTGGATAAAGATAATAGAAGAAAAAAGTGTGAACATAGATAGAAATTTGTTTAACAAAACAAACTATTGGAAGTCAGATCTGGCAGGATGTAGAAAGTGGCCTTGTTATAGGGATGGCAGTGTTGGTTCAATGCTGTTATTTTTATAAATGCATCAGAGAACAGTCAAAAGGGGATATTCCAAACAAAGGAACCACAATTACCCCTAGGTGGGAGGATTTGGGGTGATAACAAATATTTGTAGGAACTCCTTTCTGACATTTCACATTTTTGAAATGTAAAGAGAGAATCTCTTTCCACAAAGCCTCCTCACCAGCCAACCAGGTATCTCCAGCCTCTACTTCCTGCTCTGCCCATGGTATGCTATGGGAAGAGCTGTCCCTCAGGGTGCTGGGAGGTGGGGGATGCCCCTTTCAGTGCTCCCCAGAAGTCCTCAGCCTGCTCAGGCTTGATCGTTTACAGTGGCTCTGACCCCTGGGGAGGAGCAGTGAGCAGGCAGGGTCTTAAAGCCATGAAGGATGGTGCAGATCTTCTGGAAGGCCACCTCTCTGAAGGCCAGCGAGAGAACTCCTGCCTCCCTACCCTGAGCTCACAGCATGTCAGAAACAGTTCCTTTATGGTGTCCACCCCCAGCAACAGGTCCGTGCAAGAAAGCTGCAGCAAATGGGGAAGAGTAGCTTGGGAGGCCTGTGGCCTGGGACAGTTAAGGTGCGAGAACTCTTCCCCCATACAGAGCACCCAAGAGCTGGCCCAGTTCCCTTCCTCCTAGCCCAAGGGTCAGGGAGCGGAGCATTCTGGCACAGAATCCTGACAGACATGCACCTGGCTAACTGTGTATGTTACAAACCCAAGGCCAATCAGCCTCCAGATGCTGACGGAATCCCTGGCCAAGCTGCCTCTCGCACAGTACCAGCCACACTCCCAGTCCTCAGTCTACTCTTCCATGCCACAGACTGCCCTGTCTGCCTCCTCTCCTTCCTCCCTCAGAAGGGCAGGTACCCACCCCTGAATTCCATCTTCAAGCTTGACACTCACCCATTCCCCTGTGGAAATGCCCGTCTTGGTGTCACCTGATCAAATTCCATACCTCATCTGCTTCACAGATAGAGAAACTGAGGTTCACGATTTCTCTAAGATAGCCTGGCTAGTTGGTACCAGACCATGTCTCTGACTACTCCTAGTTGGTTGCCTTTTCTCTGAGAACTGCTTTCTGGAACTTTGGAAAAGGGGGCTGAAGAGTGGGCCTTCCTTTTCCTCTCTCCAAATGGCTGGAACTCCAGCTCTCCTTGAGGTCACCTTATTCCTGTCTTTAGGGACTCCGCAAAGTGTAGGTAGAGCAGAGAGGGATTTGCTGAGTTGGCTCACACAGGCTCACCTGATAAAGATATGTGCCCCAGAATCAAGGTTGGAGGGAGGGGTCACATGAGCCTGGATTTAGTCTTAATTCTGCCCCTTACCAACAGTGTCACCTTGAGTGACAGGACAGCCTTACTATGTCTCTACTGATAATTATGATATCATAGTGTGTTTCCATTGATACAGTTACATGACAAACTGCCCCAAAATAGAGTGTCTGAAAAAAATAGCAACTATTTTCTTCAAGAAACTGACTTAGGCTAGGACTTGGCAGCGACGGCTCATCTCTGCTCATTGAACCTTAGCTAGAGCAACACAGAGGCTGGGGTTGGAAACATCTTCAGGATGGTGAAGCTTGGCCTCTCACTTAGATAGATGGCCTTCAGTTCTGGCTATCAGCTGCAACCTTTGCAGTGGGTCAGAATAGGTGTGCCAGGCTGCCTGAGAAACTGGTAGCTGGATTCCAGAAGTAAGCAGAAAGCCAGAGACAAAGGGAGAGAGAAAGAGAGAGAGTCAGAAAGAAGCCATATCACCTCTTATGACTTAGCGTTGAAGTCGTATTTCAATTTTTTTTGTTGTTTTTTTTTTGTACCAGGGATCGAACTCAGGTCCTTGTGCTTGTGAAGCAGGCAGCGAACCACTGAGCTAAATCCCCGGCCCCTGAAGTTGTATTTCACTTCTGTCACATTCCATCCAATAAGGTCATTGCAAAGTCCCACCACTTTAGGGAGGAGGAGAGGAGAGTGGCAGGATTCAGTAGAATGGTACCTACCAAAGTGCAGAGCAGAAGCCTGTAAATAGCATCTGTTAGGCAGAAGCCACCTACATGGGTACCCAAGAGTCTGGAGCTGATGGTCAGGCCCAGTAGGTCAGGCTGAGTTTGTCCTCTATACTCCAAGCAAAAAGGTTCAAGTCTACTTTAGTCACCCAGTTTGAGGAAGCAAGGGGCCTGTGACAAGAGTGCTATAAAGTCATGCTAATGGGGGTCTTCCCCACTGCCCCCCACACCCATCACACCCAACAGCATTGCCCAACATCCCAGGTTAGGAGCAGGGGTGTTGGCCCTAAAGAAACCACAGTCATAAGCAAACAGCTCAGAAACCTCTGCAAACTGCAGGGCCCCTGGAAACACAATGAAGCTTCTGGAAAGAGAGGGTCAGATGTCTTCCAGGCCAGAAAAAGTGTCTCCAGCAGCCCATGGTGCTTCCAGGCCACCACTCGGGAGCTGAATTGCACAGCCTTGGGCCAGACTGGGAGTAGGGGCTGCTGTCTGTCCCTTAATGGCTATGAGTATTCTCTACCCACCCCCCAGTGAAGGGCATGCCACTGAAACTTCAGCTGAAAATAGCCACAAATATAATTTCTTTCAAATATATTTATATTTTGACTGGAGATAACAAAGTACATTTCTCCCTAATGGCAGAAAATCAGGCACTATGTCAAGGACGATAAGGACCCCCAAGCCACCCCAACCCAGCACCACACATCCCTGCAGGCTTAAATACACTACACAGCACAGGGGAGGCCACAGAGACCTGGAATAAGGATAGAAAGAAAATCACAAAGGTGCTTCATGTTGGAGCCTGAAATTGTATAATCCCTTTGTTTCTCAAAGAATAAAAGTGAGGTCCAGAAAGGGGTTGGAGCTGGCCCTGGTTTCCCGTGGTTCCTTGCAGGGCCTAGCTCTTGTGGCCAAGGTTCAGGCCTGTCCACAGCTTGATGGCTCTGGGCACTGAGCCCACCAGCCCTGGGTCTCGGCCACCTGCTCCAGATGAGTCAATCCACAGTCAGCATGGAACAGCAGTGGGGTCTGAGGTCACCAGTTCCAGCCCCAAGGACAGGACTGGCTACATAAATTACAGGACCCAGTATAAAATAAAAATATTGAACTCCTTATTCATATGCTGTATTATTAGTCAGTTGATTGTTGCTACAGTAAAATGTCTGAGAAAGTTGTAAAGAAAAAAGGTTTGCTTTGGCTCACAGTTTTAGAGGTTCCAGTCCAAACTGGGTGAGCCTATTGCTTTTGGCCTGTGATAGGCATGCTGGGTAGCAATGATAAGGTGCACGTGGTGAGGCAAACTACTCACCTCATGAGCCAAGAAGCAAAAAGGAGGAAGAGTCCAGGGTCCCACAGCTCTCTTCAAGGCCTTAACCCCTGTGGCCTGGGCAGGGTCCTCACAAAGTCCCACCTCCTAAAGGTCCGCAGCTCCTCCTACAGCACAATCCTGGGGACTGAGCCTGTAACACACTCAACTTTAGGGCACACTTATCCAAACTATAGCAACCATTATTATGGAATTTTAAGGAAATACCAGAATATTAAACTGGGTGTTTTCAAAGCACACCCCCCCCCCCCCGGCAGCAGAACTATTTGAGCAGCCTCATGGATAAAAGAGCCTTCATAAGAACTCTGGGATCCAGGTAAGAGGCTTCTGGTACTGAAGAGGCCCATCTGGAGAAGGCAGGCCCAAGCCCAGATGGCAAACGCGCTGACCCTGACCCCATCACAGGCCTGGAGCAGCCCACTCCCCACCACCAGCACCACCCGCTATGGCAGCCATGCCTCGGTTAAGAGGCCCACTAACCTCAGTCCTGGCTGGGGTCCCTGAAAGAGACATGACCAGCTCCACCTCCACTTAGCCACAGTCGTCGGACTGTGCGGCCTGCCCGGATCTGCCCGCACCAACGGGAGCAGGTCTGGAGAACACAGCCTAGCTGTGGATGCTGAGGCAGCCCTCTGAACAACTCCAGTCTCTCTCAGCTGCAGTCCAGGGCCAGTCCTGCCTGCCCATGGGCTGCCCAGTGGCTGGAGAGAAGGCAAACGTGTGGATACCTGGAAAAGGCCCACCATCAGTGAACCCATCTGTGGGTCCTGGAACAGACCTTATCTCAGTGCCAGCCCTACTGACCAAGGTTCTAGAAGTTATGCCATTTACCCAGGAACTAGATGAGGTTCACGGGAGGTCTGGGGTTGACGATATGTCCCAGTGTTTGGGCCATGTTGTTTAAATGTAGTACATGGTACATTATCAGATTAAACCTCCACAGGTTTCATTTTTGAAAAATTCTTGTGAGCATCTCAATGCACCAGAAAAAAAT